CAAGAAAATTAGGCATGCATACAGAAAAATGCAAATGCAATTATCACAGCTGCATTATGTTTATTCACTGTACATCCCATCCACATTTCACATGCCTCTCCTGGCACTGACACTGTATAGAGGTGTGACTCTCAGGATCCTACTTATTTGCTACTCTCCTTCAGTGTCATTTCATATAACTGTATAGGTTTGTATATTATTTCCTGTCAACCGCAATCAAAGAAACCAGGGATGCACCCCTGCCGGTATTTCGGTTACGAGTACCGGAAGTCCCATTCAGGAAGCCAGGCAGCGTGTAAAGACTTGCCACCCAGCTTCCTGATTAGCAGGTGACGAGAAAGCATAGAGCCAGCTTTCTGGCCAATCAGAAAGCTGGCTTCTTGATTGGCCAGCTTCAGACCAATCAGGAAGCCAGCTCCATGCTCTCTCGTCAGCTTCCTGATACCGGAAGTATCGGGCTAGGTGTAAGAAAATGACACGAAATATGATTTTTTATGTCATATTCCTTTTCTCGAAGCATAGGGTGGAAAAGTTCAATAATAGATGATTGTTTACGTTGTTGCATAAAGTTCAGAATGTGTTTAATTTAAAGTTACAAAATATTACAGGATATGGTATATCTTACAGAATGAGTCTATAAGATGCTTGATGATTACAAAATATAGTATATCTTACAGCAGAAATCTATAAGATGCTTAAGAAACGTGGCTAGGTAGTAAGTAAAAATAGTCCTAACAGGTGTTTCTATTCAATGTGAGTGTGGGTGTGTGTGTGTGATGCTGTGCATGTGTGTGTGTGTGTGGATCTGTAGTGAATGAGTGTGTGTGAGTGAATGTGTGAGTGTGTGTCCCTTGAAGGATCGTCCCTCACCCTTTTATCCATGCTTTTACTTTAAAATAACCTATGTGATGTTTACCTTAAAAGTCTTTCTGATTAGCATAAGGGAGTGCCATACTCTAGTAGCTGAGTCATGTGTTCTCCTTGTATCCCATTTTGGGCATCATAGTCTTCTTAGAGCATTCCCAACAACTGTTTCAACTATACTTAGGTCTGCCTGTCAGGCTTACTGATTGATTACCAATTGTAACTCAAAATCAGCAGTATAGTAAAACCGAATCTCCAAACTTGGATAGATTAAAATATAGAAAATCAATCATCATTTAAGGTTCACACATACATATTTCAATATCTGCTTTTAACACTAGGCATCGGAGCATTTGGGTGAGTATGAGTACTCGCCCAAATACTCACCATCGGTACCGATACCAGTATCGGTGCATCCATAAAAGAAACCTATAAAATGATAGCAGATTCCCCCCACTCCCCAAAGGGAGACCACCTTCTTCATAACTCTACTTACCTGTGAAAACTTGCCTTCACCTTCAGCAGTAAGCTTGGTTTATTTAAAGCTGAATTCTGGGCACAAAAACCATAATTTAAATATATTCCTTAATAGCCATAAAATCCACTTTGGGTGCACCAAATGCCCTTGTAAATCAAGATATTACCTTGTAAAAATAGTAGTTCCTGCAGCAGGAATGCCAGATCAGCCTGTGTGAATGAGGTCTAAAGCTCTGAATTAGTTGATTTTATACACTGAGTGGCCAGATTATTATGACCACCTGACGTTTGACGGCAAATTAGCTATAATTAGCTATAATTTCGCGCTGAAGTTGCTAGAGGGCCAGACCATTATAAATAGGGAAGCAGGTTGTTTACCACGACAGTAGAAGTGATTTTTTAATGAAGATATAGGTAAACAACGCGATTTAACAGCCTATGAACGTGGAATGATTGTTGGTGCTCGGAGCCATGGAGCGAGTATCAGCAAAACAGCAGAATTCGTTAAATGTTCAAGAGCAGCTGTTGTTAAAGTGTTTAAAGACTGGACTGTCAGCCAAAAATCTGGGTCTGAACGTGCGAATTGTGGCCGTCAGCTACTAGTCAATGTTAGGGCAGAACGGAGAGTGGCAAGACTGGTACAAGACAACAGAAGGGCAACAGTGCAGTGTTGGATTCCTCGCATCACCTTTCAACATCTCGTGGAGTCACAAGGCGGCCCAACGAAGTACTGATGGGGTGGTCATAATAATCTGGCCACTCAGTGTATATACAGATAAAATTAAAAAAAAAGGATATATGAATGCTTAAAATAGCTCTTATAGTCAAAAAACACTTAAAGCCCACAAGGATTTTTCATATCTGACACATACATAGATTTCCTGGCTATTTAATGTCAGCACATAACATTGATATGGCTACACGGATCTCCGTAATGATAATTTGACGTTTTTCTTTCTTCTTTCCATTCCTTATCATTGTTTTGGCCGCTCTTGTTTCCATCCCATCTTTGCTAATTGATTTATTGCTAATTGACAATCTTGGTGTTCAGGACACTGAGCCGCCATCACTCTTCCACATGACTTGATTAAATTAGGCAGCTCATTACCTCCTGATGTAAAAGCTAACCAGGTTAGGGTTTTCCTGTGATGTCATCATAGCGACCAACCGGGAACTCGCAACAGAAATCTACTCTGAAATGTGGAAAACCTTTTGCTTAGTAGAAATAGGAAATCCATTACATGAAAGGCTAAGCAATGGAAAATCATTTCTTGTCACTGTAGAAATTAAAGTTCAAATCAAAGGAGAAAAAAATACATTGGGGTCTATTCACAAAGCTGCCGAAGGATCTGGCCGTAGCTTCGGCCGATCCTTCGGCTAGCTTCGGACCCAGGACCCCTTTGGTTCAGTAGAACCGAAGGGGTGCTGTACGGGCTATTCACTACAGCAACAGTGACAAGAAAGGGAACTACAGTGACAAGAAATTATTTTTCTACTATTTTAGACTGGGGTTTCAATGCCCTGGGATTTTGCATAATTTTAAAGGGTGAGGTGACTGAAGAAAGGTTGAGAAACATTGGGCTAACCTGCCCTGAATTATGGCCAGCCTGCCAAAGACTCTTTCCCCGGTTATCCTTTGTGTTTGTGGCCAACCCTAGTGACAACATAAACACTGAGCTGACTCCAAAGGACTGGGAGTCAGAACCGGACTTTACTTAAATGTACACTGTTATATTTGTCAGCACTGTATCTAGCTAGTAAAGCAACCAAAGTTTTTTTTTTTTTTAACAGTCTGTGTAAGTTTAGGACCCAAGTCGCAGTAGTGCACGTTGTGGCTGATCAAAACTGTAGGTGGGAGGTGCGTTTGGGGGCCATTCAAATAAATGGCTACACAATGCACCTCCACACCAGAAAGCGCACTAGGTGAGATTGCATGGTATAGTGCATTATTTGCACAGGGCTGTGTGAATAACGCACTGTACTAGTGTGAACTGGCACTCAAAAACACACAACACATACACAACCACAGACACAAGCTCACACACTCACGGACAATCTCACACTCACACTCCTAAAAAAGTGTTATTTTGTTTTCGTTTTTTTTAAAACCGTCCAGTCTCCCTACCTTACGAAAACATGAGTGAATCTTCAGCCTGGGGTCCAACGTGGGCTACTCTGCTGTGACAGAGCTCCATCCATATGTTCACAGCTCTCTTGCATGCCCTGTAGAGGTGTCGTGAATCTAAATGTGACGTCACTCCAGTCCAGGAACCTTTACAGGGCACGCAAAGAAGTTGTAAGCGATGCACGTATGGATGGATCTCCCTCACAGCCATACTCTAAGCCCATACCACCTCAAGCTGACACTGCGCAGGGCAGCATATTTTGAATGGCTGCTCGGTGCAAGAACTGACAGTGCTGCACTAGGGGGAGACTGAGGAGCCTCTCACCTAGCGCACTGGAAGGACAAGGTGACCCACTGAACATGGGGTCGCGACCCACTTTTGGTTCACAACACACCAGTTGAGAACCACGGCTTTAAATAGGCATATTTTAATTCTTAAATACTGCGCAAGAAGCTAAAAAGTTCTTAATAATAAATATCTTTAAAAAGGCTTTGCTCGTTTTTATATTGTATGGAATGTTCTAACACTTTTGGCTATAATATTAATGGGTTGATACTCCCAGGATGGATGTTTTAGCAACCAGAGTTTTACCTAGAGTTGATGGACTATTTTTTTACTTTTCGTGATGTGAGGAAGGGGAACGTAGAGGCAATGGCCATAACATCCATTCATGCATGCAGTTTATATGTTGCTTTCTGCATCAGGAACAATATGGTTGGGATGCAACTGGTTTCAGAATGGTCACCTCCATTTTCTTTTCTTCCAGTATACATGGACCCCCTCCCAAAGTGTTATTTAACTTTAATATGTAAATTACAGTATATAACTGCCCACAGTTCCCAATGTTAGCACATTTTGCTGAAAGCTAAGCTTCAGTCAAAATATAAATAATATAACTAGGCCATTAAAAGAAACTGAAAAGGCGGCTTTTGATACTCACTGGAGCAGTCTCCTGCAGTACTTATTTTCTGTCACTAGAAGTCCGGGTTGAATGATGGCCAGCATCACTCAACTCTCTGCCGCTGAGCCTGCCCCCAGCCTGTGACTGGAAAGTGAAAGAAGAAGCAGCACAGTGATTAGATTATCTCTCTGTCACTCTACTGGCACCTTTTGCTGTTTCTTCCGCTCCCACTCTGAATTCTGCTGTATAGGGAAGCAAGAGGCATCAGACCAAATGCAGGTACTTGCACTGCCTGCATTTAAAAAAATACATTTAATAATGTAATAATGACCACAGAGCTGCATTAATTTGTTTTATATATCTGCCTAGAGTTCATCTGTTTGCTAAAAATAGATTTCATTTATTTTGTTTGTGTTGGTCCTTAAATCAAAAATAGTTACTCTAGCCACCCTTCAGTGTTTTAGGTTGATAGCAATAAGTCAGAACATTGGATGATTTAAAATTGGTTTTCTTGGGCTGCTACATTGTGAACATTGCTTCCTACCATATTAAAGTGGTTTCTCTGAAGTTGTACAGGTAAACATTTGGAATACTGAAGTTCTACATTAAATCTTTTCTGTCACTTTCAGATACAAGCAGATAATTGGGTGATGCGATAAAAGAGGGCATTGTGGAATCTATCTTGTCCAGTCGGTGGTTCAAGCCGGTAAGTTACTTTGTGTCTTATTGTTTATATTGAGCCAGAATGATCCCATATAGACTTTCTGACACTGCTTTAATGTGAGAGATATTGATCTGCACTTCTTCTAAACATGTAACATTGCTTGGTTTGTCTTAAAGCAGACCTAAATCAGTTTGCTAAATCTGATCTATTTTTCAATGCTCCTCTCTAACCTAATATGCAAAAATGTAATTGTCACTGTGGGAAAAAGAGCAGGTAGCCTTGTTCCAATTTCCAGGCTGTCCCAGGTAAGCTTGGCCTGAAGATGTCTGTTCATCAGCTTCTTTGGGGTTCTCTAGGTGACATTAGAGGTCTTAGAGACCCCTGATGTCTGCATAAAGAGGACCTGTCTGTGTAAATTGACTATCACATAGGGGGATTCTTAGCCCCCTATGTGAAAGCAATAAATTAAGTGGGAAAAAAAAGTTTTTAAAAATGAAAGTTGCCTCTTTCTCAAGCCTAGATACGAGGTAGGAGACACTGCCTCTTTCTCAGGCCTAGATATGAGGTAGGAGACCTCGTATCTAGGCTTGAGAAAGAGGCAGTGGCCTCGAAACGCGTAGCCATCTATCATACAAAGCACTACCCACAAGAGACGGCTCCCCAGCACCTCTTGACTTTATACCATCGCGGCGTTTCAGCACGATTTTTTCGCCCGCTGACATCCATTCAGCGCATACATCACACATGCCGTTGCAGCTCAGCCTGGCCAGCAGAGTCCGCACAGCTCCCAACATCCGACTGCAGTGCCTACCAACCCACCCCATTTTCGTCTCACCCTGTATCCTGGCCAACATTACGCTTTGCATGTACTCAGCCTCCCTGTGATTTCCTGGGAGAGTCTGCTGGTAGGTCAGACTGCCGTGTTTTATGCTTGCGTTAAGTGATACTTGTTTGTGCTGGTTGATGAGATATGCCGAGCTGCTGTTTCTGAAACATTTAAATGGAACTAAACACCTTTCACATTCATTTGCCACAAAAGGAGCTCCGCTGGGATCCTGCAAGAGTGTTTATCAGAGGTCTAGTAATGCTTTGTGTGTGGATTAGCTTGCAGAATTGTATAAAATATCGGTGTCCTTTTCATTTAACTTTCTCTGAATATCTGTGTGCGCGTAGGGAAACTGTGGGCGACTAAGATGCATTCAGATCAGAGCTCATTCCAGCCTACTTAGCTCTGATCATTGGCTAATACCGCTAATGCATTAACTGCAGAGGAAGTGGCAGGGGTTAACGCCAGCATGTGCGATGATGTCACAAATTGCACACGCTGTGTCCTAAACAGCACACGCTCACCTAAAAATAATCCCTTCTAGTAACGAAAATAACAGTAATTAGCATTTTTGATGCTGTTCTCCTGAGATATGCAGTCTAATGCACAATATTTATGTGTAACATTCCATTTTCAAACTGTTAATGCACTCAATATTAAGTCACTAATGCAGCAATGACTGTTTCTATCTTCTGTACTTCCATGTCTAGAAGAGGGGGGTGATACTAATGGGACATAGAAATTTAACATTATATATCTGAAAAGGCATCACTGCTGTGAATCACAGCTGGACTGCCTAGTTATTTCTTTATTTTGCATTTGGCAATGTATTGGGGAAATATGATGTCTTCATGTCGCTTTGCAGTGGCTGTACAATTTGGGCAGAATTGGAAGTTTTAGTATGTCATGATATCATGCCACAGGATGTTCTGAATGCAGAAGCAAACATGTCACGCAAGATACAGAACACAAACTCAAAATATTAGTTTTGAATAGAAGGTTCCAAAACGCAATTAGTTTTGCAGGGAAGAAACTGGCCTTTCAGTTTCTTCCCTTTTTTCCGAATTGTAGCTGGGATCTGTATCTCTGCAGATTTCTTAAGGTGCCCATACACCTTACGATTATCTGTCGATTTTTGTATCCGATCGCGGTTTCGTCCGATATTTGTAAGGTTGATGGGCAGTGTACAACCGCAAATACCTTACAATTGTTCGACTTGTGACTATCCAGGAGGTTAGAAAACTTCGGTCGATCGTACGATTTTCGCAGGGTTGGTGGCGTTTCCGTCCGTCAAAATTCATGCGATTAACAGTGCACATGCGTAAACGAAAATATGTGCCGTTGATTACCGCAATTCATCCAGGTTTTTTTCTTTTACTACCACTGATTGAACATTTCGATAATCGGGGCAGGATGTGGCCGCTGTACGGAAATCGTATGACGGTTCGATCATCGGATGAAAAGTTTCGTCCGATGGGCAGCTTAAGAGTTCTGAATGGGATGAAATCTCCAGTCCTCAGGTCAGGTGTTGCTGGTGATCAGGTGGCTGAGAACAGCCTTATTAAGAGCCCAGATCAGAGCTCAGAGGAGGGTGTGTGGTGTGTACTGGAGGCACACGAGGGCCGAGGCAGGTGGTGTGTTGAAGCCACACCAGGAACAGCCAGGGAGGCTGGAGAAAACAGACAGTGGCCCTGAGGCTTGAGCAGCAGTGCTGCAAGAGAAAAACTTTAAAGGACTGGGACACTGTGAGTGTGTGGCACAACTGGAAAACTGGTAAACCAATATAAGTTATGCTGAAGACAAGCTATTTTATGTTGGACTTCCTTTGTTGTCTGAAGAAAAAGAATAAAGACTTTTTTGGCTTATGAAAAACCCTGTGCGAGTGCTCTGTGAGCTCCCCAACATATATATCATATATACATATATTCTAATTTATAACGCATCAAAAAACTTTATGGGGGGAATCTGGAGCAGACAGAATCTGGAGCAGTTACCCATGACAATCAATTGGCATCGCTCTTCAGTTTGCTGAGGTAAGATTTTAAAATGAGACAGACAAGCTGGTTGGAGTGCAAATTTGCTCCAATTTTGTCTGCTCCAGTTTTGATAAATCCCCCTATGTGTTTATGTAAAGCCAGAATAGATGTTGTAGTATATTTAGGGGTCTATTCACAAAAGGGTGAAGAGTTTGGAGAAGACAGGAGAAGTGAACAATCTAGGCCAAAATAGATGATTTGGAAAAA